TCCTACTGTGCACGGAGAGTCAGCACTACGCTGGATAAAGAGCCCCAGTGTTGGTGTGTACCTCTGAGTCAGCAACTACAGGGTGTTCCTCACAGCAGTCCTGCTGTGGGTTTCACCGTCCCAGTATCAACACAGTTCACTTAAAATTTCTGCTGGAGTGTTGTTCCAACTGTGTGATATGGCCGTCCTAGTTGTGACTATATGGCGGAAGTAAACTCGGTGTTTTTTTTTTTTTTAAGATTTTTTTTTTAATAGAGGCATGTTTTTTTATTTGTTTGTTTGTTTTGTTTATACAAGCACTGGGTACAGTCAGAAGCATGGGGGGGTGAGAGAATTCACCAGAGCCAGGGCGGGGAGCAGAGCAGGCAGAAGGACCGAAGTACACTGCTGAGGGGAGCAGCGGGCGGCAGGAGAGGTCTGCGCGCCATGTGGGACCCTCCTCCGGTGGCCGGGGAGCAGCCGGGGATCGAACCGGCGCCACAGAGGCCGCGGGCAGCTTCGCAACCCAGCGCTTATACTCAGTGTTTTCACTGCCACTGTCTTGCTGGATTCTAAACTTGTCCTACATCATTTTACATGAGGCACTTAAGTTTCCTCAGATTTGGGTATCTGTGAGGGGTCCTGGCACCAACCCACCAGATACCAAGGGATGACTATAGTATGGTTGCACTTAGAATAGCAAGTTCATAGATAAAGTAGAAGTTACTGAAGCTAAGGGAGAATAGGTATAGAGTTTAAGGCTAAAAACGTTCTGAAAATAGTAGTGATAATTGTATGATATGATGAACATACTGAATTATATACTTAAAATTTACCACGTTGATAGTGTTTATATATAAATTACTGAAAATCAACATATACTGGAAACTTTCCTAGGCAGGCAAGAATGCCCACTGAGATGCTATCACTCCGCCTCCCCCTCTCATTAACCAGACAATTGTTAAGATTCAACACACTGTTCCAAGTGTCTCCCCAGTCACACAGCACATACGCAGAAGCAAGTCAACTGCAGGCAGCCTTTCTTCCTATACTGAACTTGCAGTGAACCACTCCCCTGTGTGTGTGGCAGCATGCAGTCATTTAGAGGGGGTTACTAACAAGTTCCTAGGTGGTATCCTAAGTCTCCTTTGGTAACTATTTAGAACCTTTCTAAATTTCAGGAATTTGACTCCCTTCAAAGTATTGAGATTGCCAAAGAATACATGAACATTTCACAGCAACTCATTTGCAGTTTTGAGACCAATGCAAAATGCATAGAAATACTGGCCTGCTTTCTAGTGTCTTCTCACTGCCATGAAACTAGTGGGTATGTCGGTAGCCACTTTGGCAACTCCTGCCATTTTCTACAAGCAGGTCTCAGACAACTTGTCACCACTGCATCAAAAGGGCAGAATACTAGTGTGCTTGTGAGTAGCCTCTAGCTAGTAGCACCTGATCCTGGGTCAGCCTGCTTTTTGTAAAAACAAAATCCTTCTCTCTCCGGCATAAAGTTCCCTTTTTACCCAGCACTTTGTTTTCCAACATTTATTCCTCCTTGCCTTTTTGAGAAACCAAAATTTACCAAGTGGTCTCATAGCTGATTTATGCACAAAACAGGTACAGAATTCCTTCCTTTTCATGTGAGGCTATATGATAAACCAAAGAAGACATGAAAAATTCATAAGATAATTCATAAACAAGCAATACAAGCTAGCCTGATTTTTAAAACAGTTTTAAAACTGTCTCTGGGAGCCCTCTTCTTGTTCTCACACCTCTTTCCTGCTGCTGTACCCCAACAAGACAACTTGTCACCACTGCATCAAAAGGGCAGAATACTAGTGTGCTTGTGAGTAGCCTCTAGGGAATTTTATTTTTTTTTATTTTTTTTTTTTTTTAATAGAGGCTTTTTTTTTTTTTTTTTTTTGTTTGTTTGTTCTGTTTACACATGCACTGGGTACAGTCAGAAGCACGGGAGGGTGAGAGAATTCACCAGAGCCAGAGCGGGGAGCAGAGCAGGCAGAAGGACCGAAGTACACTGCTGAGGGGAGCAGCGGGCGGCAGGAGAGGTCTGCGCCACATGTGGGACCCTCCTCCGGTGGCCGGGGAGCAGCCGGGGATCGAACCGGCGCCGCAGAGGCCGCGGGCAGCTTCGCAACCCAGCGCTCAACCACTGCGCCACCGGGGAGGCCCATCTAGGGAATTTTAATAAAAAAGCAGCACTATAAATCTTGTCTGGATAGGCAGAGAACTGTTGCCACACTACCACCATCAATCTCCATATAGATTTTAAAAAGCTGCTTTCACTTTCTTAAAATATAGTGATGTCTATTTATAATGATTTCTAAGAGCTAAAATAATTCACTTCTGCCTTTTTATAAAATGTTTTAAATAAAAACATCCTTAGTCATGGTATTTCTGAACAGTTACCATGTAAGGGATGGTTTAGTTTCCTTTCTATGGTCTTCTGAATTTTCCTCAAATTTAGCCCAATTTCCATCTCTATCATGTTAAGCATTTACTTATAATTTATTTTAATTTATGTATACAGGAGCTGGATTGTAGGCCAGAGGTGCAAGGATTAACTTTAGACAAAGTGGGGAGCAGAACAGGCAGACTGAGATACCTTGCTGCGAGGAGCAGCGGGCGAGACATGTAGGTCAGCTCCCTGGCCGGAGATCGAACTCATGCTGCAGTGGCTGCTGATAACTTCATAGTGCTAGGTCTTAACCCCTTGCTCCACCACGGAGGCCCTTAACAGTCTTACAGATGTTAAATCATTGCATTTATTTTTCTAACTCTCATACTTTGCCCCAGTACTTTTTACATTTTTATATACTGCAAACACTTGTTTCAAGTTTTCTACTTTGTCTTTTACCATTATGCAGTTACATTTGTAATTTCTTCCTTAATGGGTGATATATTTATATCTCCCCAGAAACAAAATCAAAAGGATATGTCCCTATAGTGTTCATATTAAACATTGAAACCTCAAATTTGGGGGAAAATATGTCTCCCTAAATGAATTTATTAGGAGTAACACAATTTATTTTGTCATCATAAATTCCCACCTCTATCCTGGCTCCTTTATTTAATGAAGATTTTTAGTCCTTTTAAGAATTTGTGCTTACAGAGGAACTTTTGAACAAATTAGAATATATTTAGGGAGTCATCTGATTTGAAAAGTGACATAGCTCTGTTTATAAAGGACAGATTAAAATGAATAAAATTATTTCTTATTCAATATACTTTTCTTTTTAATTTATTTATGCATGCAAGAGCTGGGATACAGGTCAGAGGTGTGGGGAGTGAGAGGACTCACCAGAGACAGAGTGGGGAACAGAACAGGCAGATTGACCAAAGTACACTGCTGAGGGGAGCAGCAGGCGAGGTCTGCCGTGCCATGTGGGGTGCCACCAGGGAGGCCCCTCTTAGTAAATCTGTTTAATTAAAAAGATTGAGGACTTTTAGAAAAGCAGGTTTCCTGGCCCATCTTGCTCTCCAGAGATTTATTATACATTTCCTCATAATTTCCAACCAATTCTCTTGAAATGTTCAAGTTATATAATCAATTTGATTGTTCCTCTTCATTATTCTTATTTCTTCGGCCTTGTCCCTCACTAGGCTTCCCAACTAACAGAAAATCCTGAGTGCCTCACTGTTATGATGATCACTGATAGCTTTGATGGATAAGCCTCATCAAATTAAGAACATTTCTATCCCTAGTTTAAAAGTTCATAAGGTTTTTTCCCTTCTTTTAAACAGTAATAATGGATTTGGAATTTGATCAAAACCTATTTAGATATTTTGACTTCCCTTCCCTAAAGGTTTTGTTTTATTGGACTAAATCCTACTTGATCTCTGTAATATTACTGTTGTAGTATAAGATTCCATTTGCTAATATTTTGTTTAGGATTCTTTGATCTATAATTTACATTTTTTTCTTTTTGATGGCATGTTAGAACTAGGGTTATATACTTTAGCTTCTCATTATGCATACTTTAAATAACTTCAAATTCCAAAGGTCTTTTTCACCATTACCTTTCCCTTTTTTTTTTTTTTTTTTTTTTTTCATTACCTTTCCCTTTTAAATGGAAAATAAGCTTAACAATTACAGATCCAAAGAACACACAAGTATTTTCTTCCAAGCAGGCTACTAACCACATATCTCCCATTTAATAAGGCCACAGGCATATCAATCAACTAAAATTCATCATACTCTGGATGTCCAAGAAAGTAGTGCCCTTAACTGCCTGTAACTTCTCATTTTTAAAAAAATCACTGTTGTCTACTTCCAGCTAACAGTAAGCACTTTAACAAAATTAAAATCAAATCTGAGAATACAGAAGGCATGTGTCCAGTCCAGTCAAACGCTAAACACCTGCGGATGGTCTGAGGCCCCTAAAGCTAATACCAATCACATCAGATTTCAGTGAGTCAAATCCTTTTGTTACCTTTCTTATAGTAGCAACCAACCACCTAAGCCATGTAACATACTCTGCTCCTGGACAGGCCAAAGAAAGGAAAGTCTCATCATGAAAGCTTTCTTGGATAGGTAAGAAGCCAGCAATTATATGATCAATTCCAGATGGGGAGACAGGACGGAAACCTGATTCTGAATTTTATAATCAAAGATTATCTAGACTTACTGGCTTTTGTTAAACGTCAGTAAAAATGTGTGTGTGTGTATATATAGAGAGAGACCAGACCTATTTTGTTTTTATAAATGTCGATAATACTGTTCTGACCCGAGAAATTAGAGAGCCTCAAGATAAATAATTTCTTACTGATTTCCTTTCTAAATGATCAAATTATCTTTATACTTTTAATGCTTGACCTACTATCTCTGGCAGGTATTTTTATTAAATATCCAAAAACATTCTAAGACATTCAGGTTTGATTTCTGTTAAGTTATAACACAATGCATTATAGCTATTAACATATCATGTGTTGATGGCGCTTATAAATCTATTCAGGTATTATAGAGGGAGGGAAAAAACTCTGTAACGTTAAAGTGTCATTACCTCGTAATGAACAAACTGGTCCATTTTCTTGATTCTTAGAGCGCTTATTTCTGAACTGACTTGGAATATCTAAAGAAAGGTCTTGAAATGAAATAGGAAAAGAGCTGTTAAAAGCATATAACCACACTTAAGTAATTTCAAAATTTAAGATTTCTTTATTTACTGTCTTAACATTAAAATTATTTAATGAAAAGTCTTACCTAGGAATGGATCAAACTTTCTAGATTCTGTTCCACATATGAGGCAGTTAACCTCATTTTGAAGGATGCCTCCGAATATAGCCGTGACAACTGTAGATGCTCCGTTTCTAAAGAAAATCACCAGAGGAAAACATCTCAGTACAAATTGAACTTTTTTTTTAAAGATTTATTTTATTTATATAAGAACTGGGGTACAGGCCAGATGCGCAGGAGGGTGAGAGGATTCACCAGAGACAGAGCAGGGATCAGAACAGGCAGACTGACGAAACACTGCTGAGGGGAGCAGCGGGTGACACAGGAGAGGTCTGCTCGCCATGTGGCCTGCTCTGAGGCTGGCGGGGATCAAACTGGCACTGCAGAGGCCGTGGACAGCCTCACAGTGATGCACTCAACCGCCTGCACCACCAGGGAGGCCCAACAAACAAAATTAAACTTCTAAAGGTAATTCACTTAGGGGAAATACGTATCTCATTTACATTACCAAAAAAAAAAAAATTCAAACCTAAGTAGACTTATATGAAATGAACAGGTTTATTGAGTCTTGGACTGGCCTTCCCCAAACCCACTGCTTTCTCTAAAAGTAACTGGTCATTGGCCATCACTAACAAATGCATCATGTACATGCCTGTGCAGCAGAACAAGAGGATGTCCCCAAATATATTCCCCAGAAATGAGGAAACTGCATTATACTGGAATCTTTGCAAGGCCTCTCATACTATAGGGAGCTGTCAAATTACTCTCAACAACAACCTCAATTAGAGATAGTTTTTTAGGTGGTCGGCTGACTGATTAGGGGAAAAAGAGGTAAAGAATTTAATAACATGTTACCAGTAGCTATGACCGCACAATTGAATTGCTGGATGTTACTATGATTAAGGCTTTTTAAAAGCTCACATAAGGGGACCTCCCTGGTGGTGCAGGCGGTTGCGTGCAGTGCTGTGAAGCCGTCTGCAGCCTCTGCAGTGCCAGTTCGATCCCCGCTGGCCTCTGAAAAACCCGATTAAAGCTTTTTTAAAAGCTCACATAAGGGAACCTCCCTTAAGGGACCCTCCCTGGTGGCTCAGGCAGTTGAGTGCAGCGCTGTGAAGCTGTCCGCAGCCTCTGCAGTGCTGGTTACTATGATTAAGGCTTTTTAGAAGCTCACAGAAGGGGGCCGCCCTAGTGGCGCAGGCGGCTAAGCGCAGCGCTGTGAAACTGCCCATCAACCTCCGCAGTGCCGGCTCGATCCCCGCCGGCAGCATTGGAGCAACCCGATTAAGGCTTTTTTAGATTAAGGCTTTATTAAAAGCTCACATAAGGGAGCCTCTGCAGTGCTGGTTACTCGGCAGCATTGGAGCAACCCAATTAAGGCTTTATTAAAAGCTCACATAGGGGAGCCTCTGCAGTGCTGGTTACTGCAGCACTTTAAGGCTTTTTAAAAGCTTACATAAGGGGGGACCCCCCCCAGTGGCTCAGGCTGCTGAGCAGCAGCACTGCAAAGCTGTGCACCAGCCCCCGCAGTGCAGGTTCGATCCCGGCCTCGGCCCGCAGTGCAGGCTCCCCAGGCCCGATCCCGGCCTGGGCGGAGCGGCTCCGCCCATCTGCCCGCCCGCCCCGCCCCCGGCGAATCCCCATCCTGCTGTGCATCCGGCCTGTACCCCAGCGCCTATATACATAGATCCTTTTTTTAAAAAAAGCTCACATAAAACAATACTGTAAATACCTTTCTTATTGAGATCTAGAACACACTTTAAGGACAACAAAAAGTGAATTGTCCTCTCAGGTTCGTCGGGTGTTAAACAAGATTATCTTATCTCAGGTGTGAAGATGAAATAAGGTATATATGTAAAAAGAAAAATACCGGATGGTCTCACTCATAGCAGGAATCTAGAAAACTCAAATAAGGGACCAGGAAAATGAATAACTATAAGAAAGTGAAAATCAAAATCAACAAACTATGAACCAGAGGCACACAGTGGGGGGTGGGATTGGGGTTAAAATAAGGGGGTTGCAATTGTATGGGGATTATAAAAATAAAATTTATTATAAAAAAAAGTATATATGTATATTACTTTTCAAAAAGAAAGCCCTTACAAGCATATTAGTATTAGGATAAACACCTGCTCCCCCGTATATATAATTTGAACATGTAAACCATTCTTTTTGATAGTTGCATAACATGCATAACAAAGAGTACTTAATACATGCCTGTTCCATTCTAAGTACTTTCCATTTTTTAAATAAATTAACCCTCACAGCCAGCTTTGTGAAGTGGAATCATTTATCCCCCATTTCACAGACCAGGAAGCTGATGTCCAAAGACTAGTAACTTGATCCAAGGTCACACAACTGGTCTGTTCTGAGCAGCTGCTCTTAACGTGATACTGCTCCTCTTAATTTAACCAATAAATTAACCAAAATAACCAATTATTTTGTTTGCTATCAACAGTACTATGATGAACACTTACATACTAACCTTTGTGCACTTAGGCAGTTACTGAATCAGTAAATGCTCTTTTATGCTAGCAGCAATTTGTTGTGGTTTCGTCATTTGCAGTCAATAACAATACACTAAACTGTACTTTCTAAGCTGCTCCAAATTAAGACTGCTGCAATGGTAAGACAGACAAAACATACCCAGGCAATTCTATTATTTAAAAGTTTGCTTCATCTTCTAGGAAAGGGCTTCATTCCTCACCAGCAAAAGAAATACATTGCAGCATTTTTTTTTTCTAAATCTTAAGCTATAAACAAAAAGATACACTGGGAACTGTTAGACATAATGACATTTCAGGTTCTGATATCCAGCTATAGGATATACCCCCCAAAATATCTATTGACAATAGAGATTATGACTGATCCTTTCACACTAAAGTTCACATACAATGCTGGCTTTAATTAAAAATGCAAGCTTTTATTAAAAAGCAGTATATTGAAGCTTCATATAGTTCTTTTAAAATTTCTTCCTCTGAGAAAAGTGTACTAAATCAGTCCTTGCCTCAGTGATGTGTATTAAGATTAGTATACTACTACTTATTTTAAATACTAGCTACTTAGACTTATGCTGTTGGGTGTCTTCATAAAGGCATTAACGATCTGTGTACTAAAAAGGACCAATCTGCCACTTATGTCTACCATATTACCACCTCCAACTTCAGTAGGGTTATTTTGCACAAGTAAACACAAATATTCAGATTTTTTTTTCTAGTTTTAGCAAATATCCTGAAATGCCTATTCCAATGAATTTCAGGAAATGTGATTTTTGATATTTCATTTTTTTCTCATCCTAACTCACTAATGGAACTTGCAATTAAGTCTTCAAAATATCATGAAAGCATATGGAATACTGAAAATTCATTAGTTATTAAAAACATCCTATGAATATTACAATGGGACTCCATGAGGGTGTCCTGGGCCTCCTATAAAATACTAAGAGCAGGGCCTCCCCCGGTGGAGCAGCGGTTGAGCGCTGGGTTGCAAAGCTGCCCGAAGCCTCCGCGGCCTCTGTGGCACCGGTTCCATCCCCAGCTGCTCCCCGGCCCTCGGGCGAGGGTCCCGCATGGCGCGCAGACCTCTCCTGCGACCCGCTGCTCCCCTCAGCAGTGTACTTTGGTCCTTCTGCCTGCTCTGCTCCCCACTCTGGCTCTGGTGAATTCTCTCACCCTCCCGTGCTTCTGACTATACCCAGTGCTTGCATACATACATACATACATACATACATACATACATAAAGTTAAGCATATTTAAAATAAATAAATCTTTAAAAAAAAATACTAAGAGCATATATACCTCCTCATTCACACAGCCTATCCTTGATAGAGTCCAGTTTGATAGTCTTTGTGTATGAATATGCTATCATAAAATGAAAAAAAGTTTCTTTAAATTTGGTGCTCGCAATAAGAACAATTCTACCAGGTCAGAGGTCTTCCCTTTCTGTACTGGACTCTAAATGGAAACACAGCTACTAGGAACTGGCAAGGCCAGATTTCCTATGAGTCTGCTTTACCATTAAAAAGACCTTATCGTACTAAATCAAATTTAGGCAATTCTACAGTGGTCCCTAAATATTATTCTTTTTCCCTTTGGGGTTTTTGTTTTGTAAATCCCTTTTCTGCATACAAAACAAAACTTTTCAAATTGTGAACAAAGGAAACTGCACTTAACCAAAATCCAGGCTAAAATAACAGTAAAGCATCCTACCTCAATCAAAGTAAACATTCTCATCTCAATGAATGTTTTGGGATATTAAGACCTTGAAAAAGAATCAAGTAGGCTAGTTTTGTTCATACTGTGAGGTCAGAAAATATTCTGAGAACCTACAAATGCTTGATTTCGTAAGTAACAAACTTTTAGGAAGTTCAAGTCCAAAATGAAAATTCATGTTCAAAATAAGTGCTATATTTTCAATCCCCACCCCCGATGTAAACATAAGCTGTCTGTTCTCTGGAAGGAGGCGGCAGAGACACAGCCACTTGTAGCTCAAGCACAAAAAAGCTTCAGCAAAGGTCAATACGCTCCACCTTCTATAAATCTAATACCTACAGAAAGGTCTGAGGTCTTCCTAAAAGAAAAAGAAACCATCTTACATGCAACATTTGTTACTTGCAGATAGAGTAGAATTCTCCTGCAGAATTGCTGAGAGGGAAACACCATTGAAACCGCCCTGGAGTTCCAAGTGCAGGTGGTCCAAAAGGTAGCGCATGAATTCATGGGCATCCTGTTGCTGATAGCCCCTTAAAGCAAACAGAAACAGTTTGTCACCAGAGGGCAAAGCATTGGGAAAGGCTGCAGCCCTGCTCTTGGAGCACAGCAAAGCTCCCTGGCCTTTCATCCCCATTCCACATAAAATTTGTCTTCTACTACAACTGAAGGGGCAAAAAAAAAAAAAGGGGGGGGGTATGTGTGATTTGCCTAACTTCCTACAGGAAGATTATCATAGGGATCCTCCCAGGGCTCCTCCTGTCTGAGCATTACTTGAAAGTAAGTATCAGAGATGGAACTGTAAACCCCATAGCTCCTGAATGGAATCTCCCCCTGTCCCACATGGTTCCTTCAGAAGACGGTCAAATGTTAAAATTTCATATCTTACACTCACCAAAGAAAGGTCTAATTCATCAGTCTAATAAATAAATATGACTAACATTCTATACTTGTATCCTAATCTGATTCAAGACATTTTAAAAATACTTTTTAAGATGTATTGAATTGTAAACAATTCTACTCCATCTAAAACTTGAATATCTACAGTAACAGTTTCTTTGGAACTCTTACATTAATATGGATCACTGGCAAATGAACAGTTAGTTAATGACACGTAATGACGTGTGACAGAAAATGAAGTTGGCCCAGTTGGAATGTCATAGAGGTTAATGTAGATAAATCAAGTGACAATACATGAAGAATTTTCATAAAATAATGGAGGAAAAAGATTTATGCCTGTATTTTGCCAGCATGGGAAGTTCTCTTTATGCAAGGTCTTCTGGGCTTCTCCAGTGGCGCAGCGGTTGAGCACCGGGTTGCGAAGCTGCCCGCAGCCTCTGTAGCACCGGCTGCTCCCCGGCTGCTCCCCGGCTGCTCCCCGGCCACCGGAGGAGGGTCCCACATGGCGCGCAGACCTCTCCTGCCGCCCGCTGCTCCCCTCAGCAGTGTACCTCGGTCCTTCTGCCTGCTCTGCTCCCCGCTCTGGCTCTGGTGAATTCTCTCGCCCTCCCGCGCTTCTGACTGTACCCAGTGCTTGTATAAATAAATCAATCTTAAAAAAAAAAAACAACTATGCAAGGTCTTCTGGTCTTCAATCAAAATTTTCCCCACTCTTCCAGGCAATGTTCCTTAATCAAAATTTGTTTCAACCCAAGTGTTCCTAAGCATGTATTTCCCACCACTAAACTATTTATTATGAAAAGATCTACCTACCAATAAGAACTTAAGGTGAAATGCTAAAGTGACTCTAATTTAACTTTCTGAACTATTTAAATATCAATATATGTTCAAGTAATTCTAATAGCCATTCTTTGTAGAATAGCTATTAATGAACTTCATTTATTCTAATGAAAAAAAGTTAAAATTCAGTCATAAGGATTCAAAGTTGGTAGTTCCTTCCCACATCTTTTCTTGTAACTCAGATATTTTAGATCATATCTGAAATTTATTATACATGAAAATGTTTCATTCTCGCAACAAAATAACCTAATACCTAATCACCATCTCTCTAAGTGCATCATGAAACCAGTACTCTGTCAATTTGTATTTTCATCAAACATACTTTTTAAAAAACAATCTGCAAAATGTACATTAAGGAATGTTCCCTTCGCCACTGGAAACATGGTTTTTGACCTACATAACCTAATGATAAATGGAATACTCAGGTGTTTTATAAGGTAAATTATGGGTTTCTGTTTCAATTTGTTTTATTTACCAAAAAACATCTGATTCTTCTAAGATTAGGCCATTCTGATTCTGACTAAAGAGACATTTATAACTCCATTTTAAAATATTGTCATAAAACTTTGACGACCTACCTGAAAGTGTTAATAAACATTAAAGATATTAAATTTCCTACTCCTACAAATCTGGGTTTCAGAGTTCCCACTGTAGTCAGTTAGGTTTCTCTTGATGGGTGTTCATATTAAGGAACACTGTTCACATTTGGGTGCAATGTTCATGTTTTGTATGGAAAATATTCAGCGATAGCAGCCAAACAGCTGTTTGTGTATTAGTGAGGAAATGGATTTATAAAGAATCAGATGGTATATCTCTGTGACAGACCAGAATTAAAGGAGAAAAAGGAAAACAGAGGGAAGTAACAGTGGCTCCAATTTTAACATTGCTCTTAATCTTCACTCATGTGTCACCTTGGATAAAGGTTACCTCTTTCTCCTGAATGCCTACACATACTCTGTTTTGATGATGTTATGAGAAGTAATCATTGGAGAGCACATTGCAAATATAGAAATTCTAAAAGATCATAAAGTATTCCTTCTGAATGAGGGACACTGCTGAGGCACAATGCATAGGATCACAAGAGCAACTGTCTTTTCACAACAAAACAATTTTTGGCACAAGGAAGCAGGCCATATATACCCAAATCTGAAAGAAATTTTCCAATAATCAAAGAAAACATTACTTTGTACCTGACTTGAGTGTGAAAAGCATATATTCCAAATAATGAAACAGACACCACATAATACATACACACACACAAGCACTGTGTGATGCCCCAGCCGGGATAACTGTGACATAAATCTGTGCATTGGACAATTCTTGTTTTGGCAGTACTCATCCATAATGTGCAAAATAGCAAAAGACCACTATCGAATAGGATATATCTCATCATAATTAAGTTCTGTAACTCTAGAACAAACTTCTAAAACACCTAGAACACACTAACATTTTAGGTATCTGTTCATGTTTAAAATATCAAGATTCATGAAAATTCCTATCCAGTATGTAGCACCAATCATGGCTGAATTTCTTCAAGGCAAAAAGACCAAATATAATGATAAAAATAATGTCATACACAAACACAAAAAATAGCATAGTATTTTTTAAAGTTCTCTATTAATACCCCAAAATACTGTTAAAATAGCACATGTAAATTACTGTCTATAGAGATTTTTTTATATTTCCTAAAGAGCCATATTATACAAGAGCTAGCAAACTTAAGGTCATTTCAATAATGTATCTACCCATCATTTTTAAACAATTACCAAAACTGATTTTAAAAAACAAAACTGTTATGAAAGTCAAGGCAAATATGTTAAATTGGGGTGTACATGAAAGTACCAACAGCACATACATTGTATGAGGAGCAATGGAATAAATTCCCATGACCAGATTTGAACTGTTAAGAGGCTTTCCTGGAGAGTGTTAGCATTAAGCTGGATCCTAAAGAAAGAAGTGGGGACTACAAAGCAAATACTGTACACAAGAAGGCAAATGACAAAGAGGCAACAGGAAAAAATCATGTTAAGTTAAACAAGAAGTAATAAAAACTAGCATAAGGCTATCAGCATTACAAACACAAATATCCTATGACGCAGTAATTCTTCTTTTAAATACTAGCCCATGTATGCTTGAGACTATTGGCTACAGCACTGTTTAGAACAACCAAAGATTTGACAGAACCTACATAACCAGTGGCAGGAGACTATTACATAAAATATAATAAAGCCATAATGTGGAATACTTGCAGCTATGAAACAGACTACATTAGCTATATATTCCCACAGTATCACTGAAAGGAGACACAAAAATCTAGTAAATATGGTTAGCCTGGAAAGCAAAATGAAAGGTTGGGAATAGAGTAAAAGAAAACACTTTCATTGCATATCTTTTTCACCTTTTGAAATTTGGAACCATGTGTATATTACCTACTTAAGTATAGCTTTATTTTTATGAAAAAGAAAAGGAATGGACAGGCACACTAGGAAGCCACAAGAAATGTATTGATATTTATGTTGGTAAGGTCAAACTTCAGGAATAGTTTCCCCACCAGGTAAAAGCCTATTATGGATATGATTTCCATATCCAAAGTTGTTGACTATATTTAGAGTATTTCTTTCTTTCTGCATTATTTAATAACTGAAAAGTTGTACCCACAACTACACGCATTTTTGTATTTCAGAATCCTCATATTTCATTCCAAGAGATCAGATTCCCTAGACATTCTTATGTTAATCAAGATTAAGTCAAAGAAAATGGACTTCATATACAAAAACATTTACTTTGGGATTATAAATATAACAGAAACATAATTCAAGGTTCACATGCTTTCACGCATGCATGTTATAAGAACTTTACCCTACATACATTATAAGAATAATAGCTATAAATACAGAGGGGAAAATTTCTAACAATACAGGGCTTATATTAAAAAAAATTCATCTGAACAATCTAACTTTATACCTTAAGGAACTAGAAAAACAAATGAAACTAAAAGCCACAGAGGGAAGGAAATAACAGAAATTAGAAATAAAAGACAGTAAATTTATCTATGAAACCAAAAGCGGTTTTTGTTTTGTTTTTTTAAAAGACAAGCCTCTAGCTAGGCTAAGGGGGAAAAAAGAAATTCTAACAGAAATTCTAACAAACAGAATCATAAATGAAAGCAAAGTTAAAAAAATCAAAAATACAGAGGATACAGACTACTATGAACATCTTTATGTCAACAAATTGGAAAATCTAGAAGAAATCATGAATTCTTAGAATTGTTAAGATTGAATCAGGAAGAAATAGAAAATGTGAACAGACCAATTACAAGCAAGGAAATTGAAACAATAATCAAAGTAAAAAATCTCATGATCCTATTAATAGATGCAAAGAAACCATTTAACAAGATCCAACACCCATTTATGATGAAAATGCTCAATAAAACGGGCACAGAAGAAACATAACCTCAACATAATAAAGGCCATTTACAGCAAATCCAAAGCTAATATCATACTGAATGGTGAAAGCTTCTCCTCTGAGATCAGGTACAAAACAAGGATGTCACTCTCATGACACTACTACTCCACACAGTATCAGAAATCCTAGAGAGAGGAATTAGACAAGAGAAAGAAAGAAAAGGAGTCCAATTGGAAAAGAAGTAAAACTCCCTCTTTTCAGATGAAATAATGATACACATAGACAACTCCAAAAGACTACTAAAAACCATTAGAAACAATGAATCAGTACACTAAAATGGCAGACCACAAACTTAATATCCTGTTGTATTCCTATGTGTAAGCAACACATTTTAGGGGAAAGAAATAAAAAATAATGATCTCATTTACAATCACATCAAAAAGAATTAAATACCTAGTAAGGGTAGTTTGCATGTGACTGTCCAGTTTTCCCAACACCATTTGTAAAGACACAAGGACATGGAAAGATATTCCATGCACATGGATTGGAAGCATTAACATTGTTAAAATGACTATATTACCCAAAGCAATATACAGATTTAATGCAATCCCTATCAAAATTCCAGTAGCTTTTTTCAAGGAAATAGAGCAAACATTAGTAAAATTTATACAGAACCACAAAAGACCCTGACAGTGAAAACAATGATGACAAAAAGGAGATATTACATTCCCAGACTTCAAATTATACTACAAAGCAATAGTAATCAAATGATATGGTATTAAAATAGATGCACAGGTCAATGGAATGGAAAATAGATGCACAGGTCAATGGAATGGAATTAAGAGTCCAGAAATAAACCCATATTTATATGGACAGTTAATTTAAGACAAAGGAGTCAAGAACAAACAATGGAGTAAGAGGGCTTCTCAACAAATGGTGTTGGGAAAACTGGACAGCAACACTGCAAAAGAATGAAACCAGGCCATTCATTCTCTTACACCATTCACCAAAAAAAAAAAAAAACAAGAGAAAACTCAAAATGAATCAACAACTTGGACAGAGAAGAAAACATAGGCAAGACACTCCACATCACTGGCTTCATGATGTCTTTGGGGATTCAACCACAATGGCAAGAGAAACAAAAGGAAAAATAAACAATTGGGACTACATCAAGTTAAAAAGCTTCTGCACAGCGAAAGAAAATATGATTAAAACCAAAAGGCATCCTACCAAATGGGGGTAAGTATTTGCACAACATACATCTGACAATGGGCTAATATCCAAAATCTACAAAGAACTCAGACAACAAGAAGAAAACAACCCAATCAAAAAATGGGCAGATGAACAAAACAGACACTTCTTCAAAGACAAAAGGCACAGCTGGCCAAAAGGCACATGAAAAAAGTGCTCATCATCACTTATTATGAGGGAAATTCAAATCAAAACCACAGTGACACACAACCTCACACCTGTCTGAATAGCCCATAGCAAAAAGACCAGAAGAAGTATAGGTGAGGTTGTGGAGAATGTAGACTGGTGGTAGGAATGTAGACTGGTCCAGTCTCTACGGGAAACAGTAAGGAGGTTTATCAAAACATTTTATATCTACAGTACTATCCAGCAATCCCACTTCTAGGTATCGGTCCGAAGTATACAAAAACACTAATTCAAACGGACATATGTACTCCTGTATATACTGCAGCACTATTTAAATAGTCAAGCTATGGAAACCACCTAGGTGCCCAACAACAAATGAGAGGAAGAAGATGTTACACTATCTGTGTATGTATAAAATGGACCATTATTCAGCAATTTAAAAAGGCACCCTATTCTAACCACTCATTAAAGAAATCTAAGAATATAGGTGTAGTAGAAACCATTCTGGGAACTCTGTGGCCAAATTCTTCATCCTGGTTACCTTTACCAAAAGTTCTTTTCCCTTCATCCATAGGAATATTAGGATGTATAAAATAAAGCAGCTAAAAATTTAATCATGGCCACGATTGAATTATAAAACTATAAAGGGCAGACTTAGGGTACAAAGAGGACCCTAAGTTACCACAGAGACCAAGAAGAATAGTGTAAACTTAGTGGGTTTCTTTCAGTCATGTCGACACACATTACTGTTAATACATCTATCATTAACCAACTCCACAAAGGTCTGCATTTTAAATCTGGTCCTGACACCGACTAGATATACAAGATTGAATAAGTTGCTATACCTATGTCTTAGCTTTGTCTTCTTTAGAATGGGGGTAATGCTTCCTACCTTGATGGAAATTTGTTTTTCAGGGCCTCCCTGGTGGCGCACAGGGTTAAGACACAACCTATGAAGCTGTCCGCAGCCTCTGCAGCACGAGTTCGATCCCCCAGCCAGCCAGGGAGCAACCCACATGGCGCAGCGGACCTCTCCTGACTCATCCGCTGCTCCCCTCAGCAGTGTACTTCAGTCAATCTGCCTGTTCTGTTCTCCACTCTGTCTCTGGTGAATCCTCTTACCCCCACACCTCTGACCTGTACCCTAGTTCTTATATAAATCTTTAAAAAAAAAAAATTTGTGTTTTTCAAGGAAGAACAGATATAAAAAACCTAAAGTGCTTGGCACACAGTAGGCATTCTATAAATGGAATTTTTTTTTGGAATTAAGTCCAGAAATGGTAACTTAGCACTCATTTCTACCGTCCCTTCTTAACAAGTAAACTCTAAAATCCTTATAAAACTAGGCTCTCCAGAAAGGAGATTTATTTTTTTTAAGTTTTTTTTTTTAAGATTATTTATTTATACAAGAACTGGGGTACAGGCCAAATGCGCGGGAGGGTGAGAGGACTCACCAGAGACAGTGTAGGGAACAGAACAGGCAGACTGATGAAATACACTGCTGAGGGGAGCAGCGGGCAAGACAGGAGAGGTCTGCCACGCCATATGGGACCCTCGCTGGCTGGCCGGGACTGAACTGGAGCTGCAGAGTCTGTGGACAGCGTCACAGTGCAGCGCTCAAATGCCTGTGCCACCGGGGAGGCCCCAGAGAGGAGATTTAAATGCATGATACATGTAAGTTACCTTCAAAACAGAGACCAGGGGACCTCCCTAATGGTACTAAGTCTCAGCACTATCAAGCTATTGCCAGCCACTGTGATATGAATTCAATCCCCACCAGGGAGCTAAACCACATGGCGCAGCAGACCTCTCCTGTCTCGCCCGTTCCTCCCCTCAGCAGTGTATCTTATTCTGCCTATTCTGTTCCCCACTCTGTCTCTGATGCATTGTCCCACCCAGGACCTCTGGCCTACATCCCAGTTCTTGTATGCATAAATAAATAAAATAAATCTTTAAAAAAGAGAGAGAGAGACCAGGGGTAACAATAATAGCTCATGTCAGATTCTCGAAGTTAGATTTTTCAGCAAGGCAACAGAAAAAGTCATTGAAGTTGTTACCCTTAAAACATTTCTCTATACTATCAATATATCTAAAACACTTAGGGAAAAGAACAAAATACACTGCTAAGTTTTACTACAGCATGCTGATTTTTAAAAAAGAGGGGGAGGGATGGGAGAGGAGCATATATTTAGGTGCCAAAATCATGACTAGTAAGAACCATGACTTGTTTCAGAAAGATAAAATCCATAAAACATGGCAGAGACTGTTGTCAAACCCCTACAAGTACCCCAAATTGGCTATGACCTGAAACCCTGCAGGGATGACTAACCTGCTCCTCCAACAGCAGAGACATTCCAAACTCAAGTGAGGTTAGAGAGAGAGAGCTCAGAGAACACAGCAACTCTGTAGGCAACATCAGGATGTCGTCTAGCTACCTTCTGGAAAGTGGATTCCAAGGGACTGGACTGGTCTTCTAAGGGTCTCAGATCCCAGACCATACCAATGAATATAATACCACTGATTTCTACTGATGACATCTGGATTTTTTTAGTTGAAATAATAAAAGAGTGTATGATGGTAATTTTTCCTTTTAAGATTATGAAAGAATCAAGGAAATTTTGTCCAGCATGTTTTTCTAAAGCATATGTTATTTATAAGGGCTTCGTTTTTATAATTACAAAATGTTCTACATTTGTTAATGACGTTTCTAATGGCTACCTACTATTTAAACAGACACATTTATTTAGGTTGATTTATCCAACTTTTGTTCTTCTGGGAAAAAAAGTTCTTTGTTATAATTTAGAATACCACCATTCATTAGTGAATGTTTCAGGAACTATGAAAAGAATACTACTAATATTTTTAAGTATCAATCATTAAATAGTACTTACCTAAAATTTGGCATAATCTTCCAAACAACATAAAATAAAGATTCTGGGCTAAAAGCAGTCTGGCTACCTTGCCATAAAGCACAGAGTGTCTTTCTAAATTCTTCCACCAAAGACCTGGAAAAGAGGAAGGTTAACACCCTTAGCATTAGTGAGAGGCTACTAATTCCATGCATAATGTCCAACTGTCCAAAATTCCTAATAAATAGTGAAAACATAAAAAGGGTTTGATCTCTTCTGAGTGTTAAGTAAAAGCAACTCAAACACCTATGTAAGCAGCAGTGCTAAGAGTAAGCCTTAACTTAATTTCATCAATAGGTTGTTAGAAACTGCAACCAAAGAATGTATAGGAAAACAGGCCCTCAAATAATGTTTTATTGTTGGCAGGGTGGGGTTTTTTCCTTCTCATTATTATAAAGTAATGACCTGCACCGAAAGAAACATTATTCAAGGACCTGTGTACTGACACAGTTTTTCATTGTGTGCCAAAGTTGTACAATAAAGCAAACGGTAAGTTACAAGCCAAATTACTGGAATACACACGAAGAATATATGTCTTAAAGAACTTTAAAGGAGTAATAGAATCTCTTTTTCCATCTCCTGCATTTTTCCTTCTTGTCCCTCACCAGAAGTACTTTCCAGACCTCAGTGTATGACCACATGCTCATTTCTTCCTCAGAGAATTCATCTAGTCACAAAGTTTCAATGCATGACTCTACACCAATGGCTTTCAAATCCAAATCTTAAAATCAGATTTTTCTCATGATCACTTTTATTTAGGTTTCTACTGTTTCCAACAAGAATTTTCTACTGGATATTTTCTTGTCATTTCAAACTCAATATGCTCTAAGCTCAAGTACCTGTTCTCTGTATTCTCCCGACTGCTCCCTAATATCCTCCTCTTCTCTCACTGGAATAGAACTTCCTTTTTTGCTGGGCACATGAACTCCTAGAATAAAAAACTTTTGAATGTGTCCAATTCCTGAGAAATTTCCTTAAAGAAAAAGAGTTGTGTCCTTTTTATTAACCCTACCTTCTTCCTCTTAGCTGGAACGAAGACAAATTGGGGTACTCTAGAGCCCCATCCTAGCGTTGGTGGAAAGGAAAAGTGGAAGGCGTCTGATGATTGTGTGCAACAGTCCTAGACAGATAACCTCCAACTTTTACATGAGAAAGTAAGCCATGGATATTTAAATCACTATTAATTTTGGGTTTCACTGTGTGTAAGTACAATTTACTACACACTCTGTGTGTAGTAAACTAGTATACTTTCTCAACTTGAATTACTGTATCTGTCAATTCAGCTACCATACTCATCAATTCCTGGATTAAAACCTCAGAAAATTTCCCTTTCTTCTTTCTCTAACCTTGTTACTTGTCCCTGGTACACAAGTTGATTTTTGACTTCCTAATACCAGAACCTTATGTTTGAGGAATTCCCCACCTTAAGAATATTGATGACAGTCATAGCCTAAAAGGCCAAATACTTGCTTTTTCAGCATCCCTTACAGCCGGGGCTCAGTTACCTGGGTTCTGCTGATATACAGCAGGAATAATTAGTGACACAAAGAAGCTGAAACAGTGCCAAATCCTTTCTGGATGCAAGGGCAGCAGTAATAGCAGTCAGCCAGCACCCAACTCCAGCCATGCTGGCAATGGAAACTGATATTGTGCTGGGCAGGGCGGCAATGATGTCCTTAGGGTAGTTATGTGGGGTGACTGTGATGGGGTCCTAGATGCCTAGACTCCAAACCTGAATTGAATACATATTGGTTCTCAACAATTACTTGTCAAATTTTTCCTTTTCCCATATCAACTAAAAATTGGCTATATTACCCAGTAATTAATTTTCTAACTATAATTTAGTTTTATTATCCAAACAGGTTTACCTAATACTATCAGACAAATCCACTTACAAAGACTGATGATATTCATGATGGTCTAAATCTAGATCTGTATTTGACACACAGTTGTCAATTTTAGAATGTCCAAGTCCACAAAGGCTGCAAAATTTATCCTGCTTATTAAGTGAATAGAAACGAAAGAATTCCAATATTTACTAAGATTAAACACAAACTTTAGAAGAAGCATTTTTAAAAAAAGTCAGTACCTATTAACTCACATAATGCAATGAAAATCACCAGTAAGAGTCATTTGTTTTGTATCTCAAAGCCAGAAAGGACATATTCTTAGAACTCACACATTGTTATCCCCTTGGCTCCTGGTGTGGTATGTTCGCCTTCCTGCTGTTTTCCCATTCCTTAACTCCACAGCAGGCAATTCTTTGAAATAACAGCAAAACTGCTCAATGTTACTATTTTAAAAAGAAGGGGGAAGAAATTATTAAAAAATGAATTTAAGAGGACTGTAAAGAAATGTCCATGAAACCTACCTATAAATTTTGAGAGTGTGATCTTTCTATTTCTAATTTAAATTGTACTTAAGGGACTCCCTTGTATTGAGTTTAAGTTTCCTCGTTTATTCTAAGAAAATAATATAAACAGATGACTTTATAGAAATGAACAAAGAGCTTAAAGCAAAATCTCTGTTCAAAAATTCCTCAAATTCCCTCCCCCTCATACCATTTTTTTCTTTTCAGGGTGCTTGCTTCCAGGTATTCAATAATTTCCTCAAATAAAAACAAACCATGAACCCAACCATATTGTTTAGCTATACTACACAGAGTAACAAGGAGAATTCAACAGTGATTAGAATTTATTTGAATAAGACTAGACTAGCTTAGAGGCAGTACCTTTAGAGAGAGATTAAACAGGGCTTTTGCTTCTTATTAGCAAGATGACCTGAGGAAGATAATTTATTCTGGCCTTTGATGCCTCATTAAAATCTAAAAGTATGCAACGTTCAAAATAATTTCTTTTACATAATGTAGATCAGCATTTTAAAGACCTTCTAAACATTCAATCCTATGAACATACTTAAGACTCAATGATTAAATAAAGCTCTCTGAACATGGTTCCCTGTAGCTCAAGGGCCTGCAAACCGTGATCAACGCCCCAAATATGGCCCTAGACCAAGAGTTTTTACATTTTTAAAAAGTTGTTTTAAAACAGATGATAGAGGGGAGGAGAAGAATATGTGAGAAAGACAGTAAATGGCATGCAAGACTGAAATATTTTCTCTCTAGCCTTTACAGGAAAATTTTAGCGACCTCTGTCCTAGTCTATCCAAGAAGCAATAGGAAATAGTGAACAGCTAATCTATTTACCAATAGACATGGTTCTAAGCACTTCATATAAATTATATTGTTCAATGTTCCCACTGCCCTATATAAAAACTATTATCCCCAATTTTACTGATGAATAAACTAAGGCATAGGAAACTAAGGTAACTAGCCCCAAGTTGTGACTAAAGTCAGTGAAGTACAGAACATTTCACCTTAACTATTCTGCTAGAAATTGACATCAGATAGTTTAGCTCTGATTATCACCTGAGTGACTGAAGGATGGCATTCATGAAACATGTGTTCCCCAAATTCCGAAGGCCTGTGGCACAAATGGCAGTGGTGCTTCCCTGTAAAATGGGACAAAAAGAGGCCATGTAACACTGAGAAGGCCAACTGTCTCAAAGATGAAAGCAAAGCAAAAGTCAGTATTTGGAATTGGCCCTTTTCTGTGCAATGAATATTTCAAACTTCTTTTCACTTTATGTAAGTGTCTACATATTTTTAGAAGACTGTTACTGCTTCTGGGATTGCTCTAAATGGGTGTATTTTATGGAAATTTATGAGGAAATCAACATTAATAAGTATCATGGAGTACGCAATGCAAAAACCAGGAAGATCCTTAAAGGAAATAGTTTAATATTTAGTAAGAGTCTATTAGAACTACTAGCAATTGAAAATATATAAAACATTGGGGACTCCCTGGTGGCGCAGCAGTTGAGCGCTGGGTTGCAAAGCTGCCCGCAGCATATGCAGCACCAGTTTGATCCCCGGCCGCCGGTTGAGGGTCCCACATGGCGCGCAGACCTCTCCTGCCGCCTGCTGCTCCCCTCAACAGTGTATCTCGTCAGTCTGCCTGTTCTGTTCCCCGCTGGCTCTGGTGAATTCTCTCACCCTCCCACGCTTCTGACTGTACCCAGTGCTTGTATAAATAAATAAATCTTTAAAAAAAAAAAAAAAAAAAGAAAATATATAAAACATATACACCCCAAGTATTTCTGTCCTCAAACTTTTAGCTTAAAACTATGCATAAATAACCAGTACATGTTTTCCTAATAATGGGATATCAATCTTTAAAAATACCTGAACTTTTCTTAAAGACTAGGCTTGATTTTCTGATTAGCTCTACAAATACACCATGATGTTGGAATACTACACCTGGGAGGTTAACCTACTAACCCAACCCATAGCATCTCTATCCATAATTCAGATGACCAGAGAGCACTTCAGCACTTTCTTTCACAAAATCATAACACCTTTAGTTAAGTATATATCCAACACAGCCAGCATGACGGCAGAGATAAAATTACTAATATAATTTTGTGCACTAATATAAAAATATTCAGTGATCTTTAAGTTTTCCTAACCCACTATTGGTTCATACATCTGGTAATAGATGGTTACCAGAATGAGGAAGCATATTCTTTTATGGTGAAGTTGTATTAAAAAGTCCTAAGAATTAAAACTTAGCAAAATTTCAGACACAGAATTTGCACTAGGGACCTTTAATAGAAGAGAGCAAGGATCTTCGGGATCCAATAAAAGATACATGAGTAACTGTTAAGAAGGGACGCTTGCTAAGACAATGGAGTGTGCAGTAGTGATCCTGATGGAAAGCAAGGCACAGATGGGTGGACACCCTGGGGTATTCAGTCAAACTACAAATCATTAGCACAAGTGGCAAACATTAATGTTAGACTTGTAATAAAACAGCGATTAGATGTCAACTAATTCATATTTGAGCAAATTTTACTTACATTTACTTTTAATAACTTGCTGTTTAGTGACGAATTTTCCAAAAGTTTTCTTTTCCTGTGCCTGTCAGCTGTGAAAGCTGAGCTGTTAAGACACAAACAAACACAGTCAAAAAGACAATGTATACATGTGTACAGCAGAATAAAGAATAAACTTAGCTAGGGCCTCCCCGGTGGCGCAGCGGTTGAGCGCTGGGTTGCGAAGCTGCCCCCGGCCTCTGCGGCGCCGGTTCGATCCCCGGCTGCTCCCCGGCCACCGGAGGAGGGTCCCACATGGCGCGCAGACCTCTCCTGCCGCCCACTGCTCCCCTCAGCAGTGTCCTTCGGTCCTTCTGCCTGCTCTGCTCCCAGCTCTGGCTCTGGTGAATTCTCTCACCCTCCCGCGCTTCTGACTGTACCCAGTGCTTGTATAAATAAATAAATAAATCTTTAAAAAAAAAAAAAAAGAATAAACTTAGCTATCCTAAGCACCTGGCATGGCTGCTTACAAGAGGAAGTAACCTATTAGGCCCACTGTGTATTTGAAGGTATTTGAAGGAGTTCTACTTTGCTTGGAAGCCCCCACTGCTCCTCCAGCTGCTCCTCCAGCGGGGTGGGACTGGAAATTGCAACTACCAGGCACTTCCCAGAAAAACTGGCCAGGTAGATGTAGTCTGTGAGACAATCCCCCCTTCCCACCCTTCTATCTGCCTAATCAATTGTGAAGCTTCAAAAAAACAAGAAAACCCATTCCTCATAACAAACAGGAAATCCAGGTCTGACATGAGTATTCTGAGAGTAAACAGTAAGTATCATATACAAAGCTATTTCTTTCTTAATTTTCATCATGTCTTGCTCATTTCTCATAATAAATTATGATATAATATGAATTTAAGGGATGATAAGGTATAGATGATACAAAATCATTTGATTCAAGTATGCTCACAGGAGAGCCTAAAACCAATCTTAACTAGCACAGAAATGTAGAATTTAAATTATTCCAAATTTTTCTTGATCCTATCTCCAAAGGGTCACTTTAAAATTATGTCTCTATGGGGACTACCCCTGAGGGGGTGGGGGGAAGTCAGTATTGTTTAAAAATGAACAATGATGTAAAAAATTTAAAAAATAAAAGCAGATAATGTTCATGCTGAAAAAAACAAGTAATGTCTCAAGAAAACTAATTTAAAGGAAATAAAAATTGTTATTAAAAGTCGGACTTTTAAGTGTGCCAGTTCTTTCCCATCTTCTGAAAATACCAGGTTAATCCAAAATAATATATAACTATTTTTCTTTGCAGAATTTCCAAATGAACTACGATGACCTTCAGAGGATCAGACATACTGACTGTGTAACTGTGTGTACTCCTTCTCAGAGGAATAGTAAGAGGAGATCAATTCCGTTATATAAGAAGAGAAGTTAAATCACAAACAGTACATATACAATGTAGTAACATGGCTAATAGTTAACTTTCAGTTTTAATGTATTAAATATAGAAGTTAGCTTTTTAAATCATAAGATTAAATTTTACCCATGGTCATTCTTAAAATGGCTGAATTCTCTAGATTCTATATCATACAGTAGCCACTCATGTGGCTACTTAAACTTAAAATTTTAAATTCAGTTCTTATTCACACTAGCCACTTTTCATGTACTTAAGAACCACATGTGGGTAGTGGCTACCATATTAGACAGTGCAGATCATAGAACATTTCCTTTACTTCAGAAAGTTCCATAGCACACAAATCTCCATGGTCATGTTTCTATCCACTGTAGCTTTTAGGCAATGCTATTTGGGTTTTTGTTTATTACTTTAACATTGTTCCAGTGAGTTTCATCTGAATAACATACGTGGCTATAGCAAGAAAAAGCTATATAAGTACTTCTTTGTGATAACAAAACATTCCATAGCTTCTTATAATTTCAAGTGGTATAACTACCCCTAAGGATAAAGGAACACACTAGTATCTTGTGCTATTATATACAAATAAAGAGAACTATAATATAATTAAACCTCATTTCCTTTAAAAACAATGCATAAATGTTAGTGCTTAGAAGACCTCATAATGCATTTGACAAGGTTTTTCTATATCAAAGGTAACTCAATAATGAGTTTATATCACATTCTGAGCTTTCCTTGCACCTCCAAAGCTGCCACTGCCAGTATACTGAGTAGCTAATAAGTTGGTGGGCACTAACTCAAAAAACAGGCCCTTGGGCCCTTGGATATAGTGATAAATTTTAAATGAAATAAATACACAGCTATCATCAACAACTATGGGCACAGTTTTAGGAAGCCACATCCAAAGTTTATTTTACTACCATTTCAAACACACTGAAAACATGATGAAGTTATAGAACTCATAAACAAAAATGTCACTGAAAAATTCTAAAGGGCCCTCAATCCCATTCTGTTCCCTTTCTTACCTAAGGCCTATTACTTACTTTTCCAAGTTCTGTAAGTGTTCTCTGACTTTCTGTACCAGTCCCAGCTTGGTGTCATTAACCACAAAATCATCACAGCGATAACTGCAAGGAAAATATTAATCAATGTGTGTAGAAAGCTTGAGGAAACCACAGTAATGAAATCACTAAAAGGCCTGGCTGCTGCCAAGATGATCACATGACTCTGCAGGCAGTTACTGTAGGTGGTAAAATTTAAAGAGAACTTGGAATCCACAATAGAATGTTTCTGAAGAACTTTTTCTAAAAAGCCACATAGGCAATGAACACTAGTCACTTCATACTTTAATTCAAAAGCACTTCAGTTTCTCCTTCAAAAATGAAAACTGCTACATTCTTTCAAATTCTTTTTAGTGGTACATAATACATGGAAAATGAAATAAAAAGCACCAATTCTACTCATCTAGCATTAAGCCCATAGCTTCAAGGTGATATTTTCCAACTCAAATTAATGGGGAGTTTGAGGGAAGGTGAGATTTAAGGCAAAGAGTAATTAACCTACAGATATATTTAAATGAAAAAATTAAAAATAAGGCTATACCCTTCAAACATAATTAAATTAAATACAGATGGTTGAGAGGAAAATGACACCTCATTCCGAGATGCGAGAAAACAAAAGTATAGAACAGTGACTACAATTTTCAGGAAACTTACAACTGCTTTGAAGAAAATATATATGGTGTTCTTTAAAACTGATAGTATGTATGCATGTGTTTTAACAAACCAATTAGCATAAAACATTAGGAATCAAACATAATAAACTTTAATTTGTACATTAGCATTCAGTATTCTCCTGGGATAAAGTCACTTTGAAGAGAAACAACTTACGAGCTAGTATCAATATTATTTTTTTTGAATAGCAGCTTTGTATAAAACCACTTACTATAACTACCAAAGAATAATGATAGTTAACACTTTCATTCTGAGCCAACAAAACTGAATGCATCGTAATTAATAAAAATTAGGTAATCAATAGCAAAATTAAAAAATCCATTACTTACACATCTGAAACCAGTCTATGAAAACGGGATTAGAGAACATAATAATTTTTAAAATCATACTTGTTTCTTTTATTTATAGGAGTCAAAATTTTAAAAGTAAAATAATTTTGAAAACTTAACTGGTATATTACATAGGATATTTAACATGACCTCACCCCCATTAACTGACTACTTATGGTGTCAATCAAGATTCTCTATGGGGCAAATTCCCATGTGAATCCCCAGCATTTCCATGAAGAGCCTAAGTTACCTTTTACATCCTGGACCATTTCTCTATGATCAAAGTACCAGCAACAGCAGGAGAATCATTCTTATTGGCTTTATGATTTGACTTCTTGCTTCCTCTTCACATATATGTTAAGCGGGCAAAGTCTATTCTGTAAATTAGAGCTTAAGGCACTGATTCCTCCACATTCACTGAGAAACTGCACTGTTACTCTAATTCCTCCTTACATTTTCATTCTATGTGCATAAACTTATGCATGTATTTCAGACAAAATATTACCAGTGTTCAAAACAACTCCAGGGCCTCCCCTGGTGGCACAGCAGTTGAGCGCTGGGCTGCAAAGCTGCCCGCAGCCTCTGCAGCACCGGTTCAATCCCTGGCCTCCAGCGAGGGTCCCACATGGCGGGCAGACCTCTCCTGCCGCCCACTGCTCCCCTCAGCTGTGTATTTCATCAGTCTGCCTGTTCTGTTCCCCGCTCTGGTGAATTCTCTCACCCTCCCACACTTCTGACTGTACCCAGTGTTTATATAAATAAATAAATCTTTTAAAAAAATTAAAAAAAAAAAAACTCCAAATGCTAGTGTTCATCTGGGAAATGATGTCTAAGGGTATATTTAAATCATCTTTCAAGTATTTACAGGATGTCATAATACCTAATTAAAAAGTGAATCCCTTAATCTTCACTAAGAAAGCAACTGCTTTCTTTAAAGAAACAAGAGATTTCAAACTAAATGAAATGACTGATTTTTTTCCTATTAAAGTGATTATTTTTGATGTGACATGGATTCAGCCTAGGATATAAAAATCACATTTATTAAAGCAACATTTTTACATATTAAAATATAGATTTGTCTGACCTTGCTCCATTATGAACTAGTCTGGGCTTAAGTCCAGCTGCTTCATCTCTCTGAACTTGATCATTGAAGCAAATATGGTGCTCTAAGATTCAAAGCTATGCTCATGGGATTAATACAATTGAGGAACTAAATTTTAATTTTTTTTAATTTAAAACAAGCAGTGTAAAACATTTTCCCATTAAACACAAATTTATGGCTTTAGAAAAACTATATTTCACTTTTATTATTAGATCGTATGAGATGTATTGCAGTGTACATGATAGGCATATATCTCTTCTAGTATTACACATAAGCCCATCATCAATCTAGTTTGCGTCAAGAAAATGATTCAGTTGAAGTTATTTTTTATGTAACAGTGTAGCACTAGATAGAGTATGTCTGAATATTTTAAGCAGACAGGATGAATTACAGTGAAACCTGTGTAAGTCATACTTGGTAGCTAAATGTAACAGTTTAATTGTAACTATTTTCTAGCTTTAAAAATTAAGAGTTAATTTTTTTAATTAAAAAAAGGCACATGAATGAGACACAATGAAGTGGAAAAGGTATGTCACAATTTTTACAGAGAATGGCAATTACAATTTGCCGCAATAGAGCAAAATAAGTAGTGGTTTGATGTTTTAAGATAAAATAATGTTAAGTCATTTTCAGCAAATGCATATTAATTTAATAAAAAACTGCCTCTCAACAGCCCAAAAGCAATCAATGAAAGTAGTCCTAATAAATGAAATTAAAGTTAAATATATAACAAAAAATTTCTGATTATTAAAGGATTTGAGCTTGTAATTTTGGCCAGCTATTGTCTTGAATGCTTGCTCAAGAAAGAAAACCATTATTAAATGAAGAGATGAAAAATTAAGTCTTTATTTCAATTAGGGGAATTGCTTTTTAAATTTGAGAAAAAGAATATAAAACACATCATTTTACCAAAAGTAAAAGAACTTCAATTGATCCACCAAGCAGTTGTCAGTGAATAAAAGATCTTTCCAATAACATTAAATATCAATTCAACATTTGAAAAATTCTAATTTATTTTTAGCTTTACATGAGTTGCTAGACACTGGACAACTGATCCTTTTGTTCCATTTTATCTCAAATGACTTCAAATTTACAGAGGAATATCTGCCATCCATTTGCAACCTTAAAAATATTAGATCTTCCGTTGTAGATATTTTCTAGTGTTTTACATGTCACTTTCAGTTAGATAGGAAAAAGCTTCTATAGAAACAATAAGCCAGTTATGTGAGATGAAAAATATGGATTTTTTTTGGCTAGAATTATGTTTCTTTTTTAAAGATTTATTTCTTTTTTTTTTTTTTTTTTTTTTATATAGAGGCATGTTTTTATTTATTTATTTTATTTGTTTTGTTTTGTTTTTGTTTATACATGCACTGGGTACAGACAGAAGCGCGGGAGGGTGAGAGAATTCACCAGAGCCAGAGTGGGGAGCAGAGCAGGCAGAAGGACCGAAGTACACTGCTGAGGGGAGCAGCGGGCGGCAGGAGAGGTCTGCGCACCATGTGGGATCCTCCTCCGGTGGCCGGGGAGCAGCCGGGGATCGAACCGGCGCCGCAGAGGCCGCAGGCAGCTTCGCAACCCAGCGCTCAACCGCTGCACCACCGGGGAGGCCCTAAAGATTTATTTCTTTATTTTTACAAGCACTGGGTACAGTCAGAAGCGTGGGAGGGTGAGAGAATTCACCAGAGCGGGGAACACAACAGGCAGACTGACAAAATACACTGCTGAGGGGAGCAGTGGGCGGCAGGAGAGGTCTGCCAGCCATGTGGGACCCTCGCCAGCAGCTGGGGATTGAACGGGCGCTCAAGACCCAGCGCTCAACTGCTGCGCCACCAGGGGAGACCCTAGAATTATTTTTCTTATATTTGTTCCACCGTGTGATAACACTGAAAATATATGTGCTCTGAACTGTATCATGGACGCAGTTATTGGAACGGTTCAATATTTATGTGCAGATGCTGTGAATCACCACCATTAAAAGAAACAGAAGGTATTAAATTTACTACATGTTTTTTGCTAATGTTCACTCCTTGAGTGATGGAATAGTTTTACAAGGACTTACTGTATTGTTAACTCTAATTAGAGATTTTCTGGAAACAAAAGGAACACTTGCCAATATTCAACAAAAACACCACGATGTGATCTACATTTCTCACCGTCTAGAAAAGTGCACACGAACAAACTAAACTTAAAGATCTGAGAAGCAAAAATGCTTATTTGTGCTCTGCGAAGATGCTAGACAAGTCAGAGAATTAAAAATTTTTATAATACAAATCAATATTGATTTTACACATTTTCAACACTAATGAATTTGTAGGTTTTAATAACAGCATTATAGTAATAAATTGGCTACAAAATCTAGAGAGAAAAATTGAATACTTGTTATGAACAAATTTAGAGCTGATTATGTGTTTGTGTAATTCTCTTTTGAGAATGTTATTTCATGATGATCATGATGATCATGATGAAAGGAAAGTACCAGCTTCCATAGACCCAACTTTTAAGAGTGCCAGGCATGTGGGAGAAGATCAATAAACGGTCTTGCCTGCCTTTGTGTAACCAAGAACTACCCCATAGCTCCTCTTTCTCTAGCTGCCCCATTCCTCTGTTTTGATTTCTTCCTCCCTGGCCCAGAGGTCAAAAGAAAATAAGTAGCAAAAGTAAGAAATGAACAAGAATTTACATGTTGTCAGGTTGCTTTAGTCTTTAGCTAAGAAGCTGCTTTCAAATTGGAAACTATACCAATTAATACTGGTATTAAAAATACCAAGGCAAACAGAAGGACTTAAGATAAACAAGTTCTAAAAATCTCTTACTGGTTTATAATTGTGTTGAAGCTATATGGTAAGATTTATGCTAACTCTAACACCTAAAAAAAATGTAGCTACTCTTAATTTTCCCTTTGAGAAGATGACAGCAGAAGAAGTAGTACAAAAAAGTAGATAACGATATACTGTGCTTCA